CTTCCTTCCTTCCTTCCTTCCTTCCTTCCTTCCTTCCTTCCTTCCTTCCTTCCTTTCTTCCTTACACTTTACTTGTTTGAAGGCAAACTACTCTGAAATATATTTCAGGAGGGGTAAATTTATTTGTCTAACTAAGGCAGGGAGGGGTAGCAAATATAAGTCTTGCATACTGCCACACCCCTGCCATGACAGACAATGTAATTAATCACTGCTTTCTGGGCATAATCTCAGAATTCATTTCAAGGTGCATGGGTTGGCTAGAGTTGGCACAAGTGATGAGTGCTGTTTGCCAAAACAAATCTAGGACACAAATGGATCAAATATAACTTTCCATTAAAAAAAGTTAAATATATACTACAAAATACACTTCCTTTACTCTTTTCAAATGTTTTCCCCTTGCTATTTTGATCTCAGCAAGAGCTTCAAGCAGAAATAGACAAATGTCATTTGAAGTCATAGTCTCGTGCATTGAGAGTCTAGAAAAGAATTTTTAGAAGCCTAAATATGTCTCATGAATGGATATCACCTTTTGAATATTTTGTCATACAAATTGACTTCCAAACATTCTGGTGTTTGCCCCCTTGTAAATTTGAATTTCCCTTGTGCTAAAATTTGGTTTCTTAGTTCTAATGCAAATATATTATATGTGTACATATACGTAGAGCTTATGAGCTCAGTTTCTAAAGCCAGAGTTGGAAATCCAGTTCTGTCTCTTTTGAGCTGAGTGCCTTTGAACAAGTTAACTTGACCTTTCTTAGCTTAGTTTTCTCCTATTGAAAAGAGAAATAATCATTTCTACCTCATAGGGTCATGGTGAAGAGTAAATGAGATAATTCATGTAGACAATTTAACATAGTATCTGGCACATAATAATACTCAATAAATGGGAGTTCTACGTGTTGCATGTAGCTAACATTATCCAGGGTGAATTAAAGACTCTGATGCTCACCGAATTGTTTGGCAAAATGCTACATTATTTTGCTTTTGTGAATGTATGTTAGAGTTTTAATGCTACTTGAATTCTGTTTTGCGGTTCCATCAGGATTTAGTGTGTGTGTGTGTGTGTGTGTGTGTGTGTGTGTGTGTGTGTGTGTGTGTTTGAACTTCAAGAAAAATGTCCCCTCTTTGGTAGCTGATATATTCAAACCACTAGTGCTGGAAGAAAAATAATCTGTCATTGAAGTAGATGAGAGTTGACATGACAGACTGTGCACTCTATCTTAAACATTCATAACATGCATAATATGGTCTCCATGGAATGAAATTAC